AACAACAAAACAAAAAAACAACTGAATGTTAGTTGTGCAAGAGGTCATCAATCTGAGGTCTCCCTGGAGTCTTCATTCATTGCTTTAATAACATCTCATCAATTTTAGGACTTGGCTTTTGAAATTTTATCATCTCTGAGATGGGGACATGTTTTAAAATCCTGAGGGTGTGTGTTGTCATACTCCATTTGCAGCATTTCTCTAAGGGATACATAAAACCACAGATGAGCTTTGGAAACAATGTTGTCTTCTTTCCTTCAATGAAATTGGCCTTAAAAATGTGTTTTGTGGGAACCCACACACACTCTATACCCCTGGATCTTGCCATAATAGGTGCTCAAAAAAGGTTGACTGAATTAATGTGTCTGGTTTTTTTGTTGCTTTTTGGCTCTGTCATTTGCCAATAGCTTGACTCAAGAAAACTCCTTTGAGCTTTCCTAGTTCAGAGAATGGCTGTAACAAGGTCAACACCACTGGGTGGTTTCAAGGCTCCCAAGAAGTGTCACAGAAATGTGTGTTTAGGGCCTGAGTACTCATTCCTCAAAACTTCAACCCAATGAAAAGGCAGAAACAGTGTTTGTCTTTTTCATCTTTTATAAGAAAGTAGAAATGCAAATAGACATGAGAATTTAGAGGAGGGGAAAAGCAGATCAATGTAAAGAAGGAGGCTTTTTTTTTTTTTTTTTTTTTTTTTGAGACAGAGCCTCACTTTGTCAGTCCTGGTGGAGTACCATAGCATCATAGCTCACAGCAACCTCAGACTCCTGGGCTCAAGCGATTCTCTTGCCTCAGCCTCCAGAGTAAGTCCCAGCCACAACACCTGGCTATTTTTTGAGACGGGGTCTTGCTCTAGCTCAGGCTGGTTTGTAAGCTCAGGCAATCCACTGACCTTGGTCTCCCAGAGTGCTGGGATTACAGGCGTGAATCACCATGAACAGCTCCTCATATTTTTTAAAAAGCACTATTTTGCTTAATTCCCAGCCCCTATACCCCTGTGGGAGAAGACTGGCCCTGGAAGTGAGTAAGATGGACTGGGTGGGCATTTGCTCTTTTCTCTGCTGGTGTGTGATCTAACTCTGTGCCTGGAAACTGGGATGACATGTAATTAATGCTGCCAACAGGATTTTCTTACTATCCTAAGCATGAGCTTGATGTGACGCTCATAGCTATGTGCTAATTTTAATAATTTGCTATGTAACTTGGATTCCTATAACCTCGACTGTAAATTTGTTTTAGCTCCAGTGTGAGTTTTCTTTTCAAAAGTATGATTAAATCATCCTAATTTTTTCCCCCCCGGACTCCAGTACTAGTTATTTAAAATGGATGCAGAAACTTTAAAACTGATCTCTTTACCTTGTATTGAGCACTGAAGACTTTTGTCTAATCATGCTATTTGTTCTACTGCTTTTGCCAATTGATAACTCCCATAGCCCTTTTGAAAAATGTGTGCTTTGGGTAGAAATTAAGTTATATGCCCTCAGGCCAAACAATTTAGTTTTATTTCTGAAGCTTGTTTAGATTTCTCTGTACTTGCATAGGCTTGATTGAGGCTTAGCTAAGGTTTCCTAAAGCATCTTCTAGTAGTTATCATTGGCTTATACAATGAAATTTGGGTTGTTTAAAATGCAAAAAAAAAAAAGCACTATTTTGTAACTTGAAACTAAGAAAGCAGGGAAGAATGGGGGGGTGGGTGGGAGCAATCCTTTAAAGTTGAAGAATCATCGCACGGGCTCAAGGATTCTTTATTCCGGGCCATCTGCAAAGAAAAGAAAACAGGCGTTAGAAATTGGAACTCAAAGGTATGCGGTACACACCACCTGCCTCTCTTGAAGTCCTCTCTAAGTATTCAGACCCTTATGGATAAGGTGCTCCCCATGGCTTCGCCTGCCTACGCCCACCTTCTCTCCATATCCACCCACCCTAGCCGCAGAGTCTGTTGGTCGACTCCAGAACCCCCAACCGCCACCGCGCTCCCAGAGCTTCGCTCATCCAGTGGCGCGTCCACAACCTGCCGGCTGCGACCCACTCACTGCGGCAAGTGCAGGAAGCTCGCCACTGCGCAATCCTCGAGGTTGCAACAGGAAAGTAAGTATTACATAGCGAGCGCCTGACACAATGCCAGGCGCGAGGGCGTGCCCAGAATTTCTTGCACCTGGTGCGGAGGGAGCCAGCGAGTTCGCGGTACAAAGGACGCCCAAAGCGTCAGCGCATCTCGACCATGTGGGAAATTTTGCTTCCAGTCCCATCTCCCCTTTCCCATCGCCTCCCCCTCCAAACCCGCTAAAGGTTTCCTATCATTTCTAGAACAAAATGGATGCTCCTTTCTTGGACCTGGACGACCCCTAGGTGATAGGGCCTCTGCTGTCCTCTTTAATCTCGTCGCGTAAGGGCTTCAGCTCGCGTC